CCCCAAAACCCCAAAACCCCAAAACCCCAACATTTTTTATACAAATTGAATTGACCAGAAAATAAGCTTCTTCCCAAGAATGGTCTAAATTGAAACCTAAATTTTGCATAATTTGCTCAACCATATCTCTAGTTTTCAAAATATTGGTTTTATTCAACATTCCGATCATTTCAAAAATTTGGTAACCCCATATAACCTTTAAAAGCTTAATTTAAGGTTAACCAGGATGCAAAGACGTGTTTTGTGAAGCATATGCAAGGTTTACAGACCTAACTCAAGCCTTGCCGATCATGGAGATGATAGCCATTGATGAAGCCATTACAGTGTGAACTCTGTCTGAGGAATCCCTATCAACAGAATTCCTACTGACCAAATACAAGCCCAAAGGAATAGTTTTACTGATAACTGGAAGGAAATTGTCATGGAAGGGGAGCAGGACTTCATTAATGAAATTGTAATTTGAATTATCTGCAAAGATATCCCTCACCCAGAACGAGCAATCAAGGTAATGTGTTGTAGAAAGATCTGGTGTCTTGATTGAGTCCTTATGGGTATGAAGAGTGATACTAAGTGATCCCACTGAAGGAGGAATATCAATATTGGACTTTTTGAGAAAGTATCAATTTTTGATGAAGCAACAGATCAATTGATGAAATACAGAAAAAGAAGAAATGTAAAATGTAAAGCCCATAAAAGAGATGCAGTGTTCTTTTGAAACGATTGAGATACCTTCATATGCCCAAAAGGAGCCATCTCAACTCATAAAGGCCATGAACTAATCGAGAAAGACCAAAAGCACAAAGATCTTTGCAAAGAAATCAAAGGAAAGTACAAAAGATTGAAGGAAAGAAATCTATATACTCATAATATAAAGAAGGATGTGAACGAAAAGTACAAGAGGGGCAGTGAGCTGCAGAAGCTACAATTAGAGCCTTCTATATCCATGATTGCTAAAAGTTACTGCAATTATTATCAAAACTCATGGGGATGGTTTGTAGGGTTTCAATCCAAACTAGACGAGATGAAAGATTTTGAAGAGTCTTTATTCAGCAAGAATATAAAGAATTCAAAAGAGGACTCCTTACCCACTCTTAATACTCTACTGGAAGCTCAGAAAAAATTGCATAAATACGGAGAATCCCATGAACTTTATTCAGCAAAACTGGAGAAGCTTAACAAAAGGTGCAAGTTTGAGAATGAGAGGCATATTTTCCAGTTCAAAATCAAATATAGTAAAGATAGGATCAAGTACAAGGTGACTTCAAATGGGGTGGAGTGAATATTATTAGTTGAACATCAATGAGCCACTATCTGTATCGCTAATATTAAAAGAGCTGTTAAGCGCAAAGCAGCTACAAAGCCTAAGAAAAAAGTAGAAATCAAAAATAGTGAGTCAGGAAAGAAGGAGCGAAAGAAATGAGTAACTTTGACACCACAAAGATTGAGCAAAAAGAGAGAACTAAAATGGATCAAAAAGAAAGGGAGCAGTTTAAAGAGAAAGAGTACAAGAAAATGCAGGAGTAGATCGAGAAGTAAGAAAAAGATTTGAAAATCAAGAAAGATTAGCAAGTCGACTCATGCACCCAATAAGCCTTCAAAAACGTCGTCAAAGAAATATATAGTACTTCAGGAAAAAGTGTGAAAATTGTTTGACGAAGAAAAAGGAATAACTGTTCATAAATTCATTAGTATTGTTGGATCTTCTCCAATAGATTTCAATTTGGATCCCTTTATTACTAAAGGTTCTACTATTTGAAGCATCAAATTGATAGCTTATGAATATTCCTCAGACCTAGGTTCACATCTGATAAGCTCTTTGAATACAACTTATCAGGGTTACAAAGAGTGTTTGAAAACCACCAGTGATACTCTGAAAATGCTGAATCAAGCTCAGAAAGAGTCTATGTCTCAACCAAAACCTTCACTCCGGCTTAAATCCTGCAAAAAGTATATATCTTCCCGTAAATCCAAATCTAGGTGCAAAGTTAAACCTACTTCCAAGACTAAATATAAGCCTAAACAAAAGTCTAAGGCCAAGAAGAAATCTAGTTCCAAATCCAAGATTGATCATGTTTGTGAGTCTGAATGAGGAGAGGAAACAGCTGCCTCTCAACAAGGCTAATACCAGTGCTCTTTTAATTTGAAATCAATTTTAGCTAAAGTTCAACTGGGTATAACTTAATTGGGGTTTTGGGGTTTTGGGGTTTTGGGG